AACAGCATTACTGCTTGGATGGCATAAGCAACAGTTTTATGAAAGAAAGGTATTTTGCTGTTTTTGTTGATCAGTAACAAGGTTATTCCCATCAAGATGATACTTATAATTCAAATTCTGATAACCCAGGCGTACTGCATACTAGTCTAATAGTTCACGATTAATTAGTACACGTTTCATAGAACCTGGCTTATAGAGCTGTAATCGCTGTGAGGAGAAGGATGCTGCATTAAATAATGATTTGGATAATTGAGCAACTAAATGGCAGATGGTTTTTAATTATAATAAATGCAAGTTAATGCATGTTAATTTCACAATACATATTGACCATCTTTTTTATATCTGTATTGCTCTAGAATCAAGTTCACACCCTTCTTGAACTTGACGATCTTTGGTTTCTCCATGGTGAAAGTAACTAAAACAGTAGATCCCAGTATAGTATTATATGATAGTAGTAATAATAGCAGAATGATTGACCAGTTGATTTCACTGCCATATTTATACCTGTTAGTTAATGTTTATTTATTGATTATTTGTAATTACTAACCAGCCATTTATCGCACGGCTTCTTAATACCCATTTAATTGGTTGGCACGTCTTATCGAGTTAGCCGGCTTATTGAGCTGACACCCTCACTGCTGGTATACCAACACCCAAGACCCTAATATTGTCAGCAAATGTAAAAAAAAAAATCTGTGACCATTCCTTCATCTATGTCATTGATGTAAGTCAGAAAGAACAAAGTTTCTAACACTGAGCCCTGAGATAACTTACTTGTAGTATTAATTCAGTCTGACTGAATTCCATTTATAACAACCCTCAGCTTTTTTCCATCCAGCCACTTTTCTTTTTATCCAATGAACCAACTTATCACCCACACATACAGATTACTTTTTAGCATCTTGTTAAATGCTTTCTAAATCCAAATAAACAAAATCCACACCTTTACTTTCATCTATGTAAGTAGTAACCTCTTGAAAGAATGTCAAAAGAACAGTAAGGTAAGATTTTCCCCTATTGAAAACATGTTAATTATCCAACATTTTAAAATTTGTTAACTGACTTTGCAAAACCATCTTTAGCAAACTTCAGAAAAAATTTTTCCATCTAATGTAAACCTAATAAGCCTATAATTACCAGGACAATTTTTAACACCTTGGAAAAGAGGAGTAATATATCAAATTATCCAATCCTTAACCTACTTCAAAATCTTTGGGGAAACACCATCTGGCTCAGAAACCTTATCAATCTTTCAACTTGTTAGTTTTTCCTTAATCTACATTTCACACCAGGAGTTTTTCTCATTGAAAAATGGATAATTTTGTGATATTTCACTTTTTCTGTGCTGCTGTATCTAATGACGGTGTAGATATGTTTAATTTTATTTGTATACTGCAAGTCAAACATTGGTAAGTGTGTAGAACAAATGATTAAAACACTCACACTATCGGTGTTTAAAATGCTGATTTGAAACCTTTATTCTATGGTCTAGTATAACCTAAGAAAGTTGTGTCATCTGTAGACTTTCTGATCTGTTAACCCTTCATCTTTATTTAAATTATCATAATTATTTTTACTGTGTCTAATTATTTCAGCCATTTCTAGCCATCATATCATTCCCTTTTGCCAAAATATCAGTTTTTCTCCCATTAAATAATATGATAAGTAAGGCGTACATGTTTGGCCAAAGAATCATTTTCAATTTTATTATGTTTAGCATTTATATTTGGTTATTCCAAATCTTATATTTCTTTTAGTTTGACTTATGTACACACAACCTTATTCACATTCAATTTTATAAATATCTGTTTAATACATTTATTATATCTTTAGTTATATTTAATATGTGGCTCATTTTATTTATAGGTTTATAAATTGAGGGGAAAAAAAGATTTTGCTTTGGTAAATTCCTTTAACATATAACATGATAAATTTGGAACATTAAACAAGAATAACATTTCCATTTTAGTTATTTTATCAAATGTTTATTTGACATTACTTTTTGTTCATTATTTATAATTCTATTAAATTTTCTAACAGATCTTTAAACAACATTAAGTGAAAAAAACTATCTACTGCCACTTATTTTATAAATAACAACTAATTTTTTGAATCATCTTATTTAAAACATAATTTTAAGGACCTATAATCATGCAAATTAAAAGCTGACATTTTTTGTGAATTTGTATGACACAATTTGTAGTGTTTTGGCATAATAACAGAGAAAGGTTTGCGATACACAGTAGTTTCTAATTTGTTTTTATTTTTCTTAGCTAATATCCCAAGAAACAATAATCTATTGTTTTCTATAATGTTATAAGTAAATTTAATGGTGGGTTCTAAACTTTTCAGATAATTAGCAAAATCTATCAAATCTTCTTTATCATGCTGCCACACCATAGTCTCAGAATATAAATTTCAAATTGTTAAACAGTGATTCTGTGAGTATTTTAAAGTCAAGGTTTTGCACAGTTACCTTGAACTTTAGCTATTGTAGAATAAATAATTCATTATTTATAAATACATTAAATACTGTTTGATAATTTAAAAGTAGCACATTTTTGGTATCTCTCCAATTTCAACAGCCATAACTTTCTTAGTAATTGGTTTAGAATATTCAAGTTTTGCACAGTTGTTGTTAAAATAATAGTACAAGTATGCAAAAGATCAGCGAGATTTGAGAGGGTAAGTTGTGGAGTACTAGCTGAGTTGACTGTAATAAAAAAGGTTTTTCTCTGTGGTATACATGTAATTTGTTATGCGTATCAGAATGCAGTAATGAAATATTTTGTTTACATTTTTATGCTCCCACTGCAGAGCAGGGCATACTGGTTTGTCCCAGTCCGTCCAGATTTTGTGGACAGGATATATCATAATTGGATGGATGTATTTTGACAAAATTTGTATAACAGGTACCACATGCA